TTTGTCAAAGCAAAGATGCTATTCCTATGCCTTTTTTTCAAATTTTTAGCAAGTGTAATGGTGGACTAGTTCAAATTTGATGGAATTGTGAATCGACCCATTTAGCCCAGTTTGGTGGACAAATTTATTTTTTTTCCCAGTAAAACATTGTTTAGAATAGTGAATTTTTGAAGAAAATATTTGATTTTATGTGTAGAATACTTTATCATATAAATGTATGGTTGAAAATTAACATGTAGAAAAATGAGTTTTGAAAGAATGAAAGACAAACATGAGCTTAGAGTCTAGTCGTATCGAGTTTGGTTTTATAAATCTTTTATTAACAATTTTTACAACCACTTATTTCATTTTTTTTTTAATCAAAATTTGCTAAAAATTAGATTTCGTTTTACTCAATTTTAAGATGCTTCTATTATACTTAAGATACTCTTTATAAAATAGAGTCTCTTTGAGATGTATTAAGAATTGTGGTTCCAACTTTAAAGGTCAACATTTTTAAGAGGGGTAACTCAATCTTTTATAAGTTGGTTTATGTTTATATCTTTATTCGATGTGGAATTTTATTCCTTAACATGCCCCCGCAAGATGGTGGCTCATTTGAACAAACCAAACTTGAGCAATCCACTTTTGGAGTCTTAACTGAATAGAATTGCTCGTTAGATATTAATGGGTTCTGATACCATGTTAAGAATTGAGGTTCCATCTTAAAATGTCAACATTTTTAAGAGGAATAACTCAATCATTTATAAATTGGTTTATATTTACATCTTTATTTGATATGGAATTCTATCCCTTAACAATCACTAAGTATGTGTGGTTTTTTCGATGGTTGATTGGACCTTCATTAAGATGATAGTCGAACATTAAGGTCAGTTTTGCATAACTTTTGAAAAGTCAAAATGGGTTTTTAAAATCCAAAAGCAGTTTATGACCCATTTGCCTAATTTTATTAACGTGGTTTTTGTTCTAATAACAAGAGATTTTAGAGAAAATTGGACTAAAATAATTTTTCTAAGAAATTCTTTTACAAAAAAGTAGAAGGGCTACTCAGGGGCGGATCGAGACCATTATTCTTGTGGGGGTCTAAAAAGAGAATTTTAAACTGTTCACCCCACATGACCCCATGTGGGTTCTCCCCTGGGGCTACTGAACAAGCTCTTAGGTCAGCTTNAAAACATAAATTTATTTTTTACTTAAAACTTTTCAAGTTAAAATAAATAATTTAATAACTAAAATAAAAATAGATAAAATGCTCAAGTTAAAATTTAATGCAAATTAAGTGTTTATTTGGAAGGCATTCTTTGGAGCAAAATGATTTATTTTATAGACCGTGTAGTTAAAAATAAATAAATAAAAAATGCAAATTTAGTGTTTATTTGAAGGCATTCTTTGGAGTGAAATGATTTATTTTATAGTCCGTGTAGTTAAAAATAAGCGAAAAAAACGTGACTTACTTATTATTGTTTTGTCTGGTGCCACTACTAATCAGAATTCCAACCGTTTTGGCCGCACAATTTGACTTCTTTGTGAGAGGGTGGGCCCCATTTTTTAAAAACTAACAGTCAAAAAAGCCCAGTTTTGCTGATTTTAAGCTGAACCAGACAGGCTGTAAATTATCTTATTTGAAAAAAAAATCATTTTCAAATAAGTTATTCCTTTAAATTAAATTTTAATTCGTACCAAATAACAAAGCTGGCTTCAGCCAGGCACCTTTCAGCTAGGTTGGCTACTTTGAGAGCACAAGATTTATAAGGAAAATAATGAAGATAGAATTAAAATGAGGGAGTTAATGATACATAGCACCTTTATAAATATTTGCTAGGAAAAATTAAAACCCTAGCTGTACGTGACAACTATCTCTATGAAACAATAAAATTTGGCCCTTCAAATCGAAATTCGACAATTTCAACTTTAATTCTAAAATGAAATTTAAATTTAAATAAAGATTGTGAACATTAATACTATTCTTTCTTTTCTCTTTTTTGTTATTTCTTGACTATGTAATATTTCAATCGAAACAATAAATAAAAATATTTTTATTACAAAATTTGCTTACTTGGTAGGAAAAATTGTCGCCAACATTTCACTCGACGTTGAAATTCAGATATTTTGTGGAAGAACATATTTCGTGTGGAGTTAAAACGAATAAAATAATATTTTTATTGACCGTAAAACCGTATGATATATCGTGTTGAACGGAGTATTTCGTTTACTTGTAATTTAGATTTGGACTATGTGATTGGCTATATAAAGCCCTTGTTTGAGTTCCATTTTTTTTTTTTTTTTTGAAAAAAAATGAATTTTATAATAGTGATTTTTTTAAAAATATGTCGTTAAAAAGTAAGAAAATTTTTGAATTTACGTGCAAATTAATTTATTAGAAGAATTTTTGATTGAAAATGTGTTTGAGAAAAAAAAAACGAATTTTAGAATAGTGGGACTCAAACACGGCGAAGTAAAGTATTAAAAAGAAACTTAATTTTGAATAAAGATTGTGATTAATAAATAAAAAGCATTTTAAATTTTTTTTTTAATCTTTTGTATTCTTGAATTTATCACATGTAAATAAAAGATACGATTTTCTTTTTGTCTTACGTTTCTTCAAAATTTCTTTATATATTTCGAATTGCATTTTATTTTATTTTATTTCAGAAAATAAAAATAAAATCGAAGCGTGCCTATTTGACCAATTGTGTGTTTAATCTCCTCCCATTTGTATGGTCCATTCTTTTTGTCTGAAAAAAGTTCATGCTAATAAATCAATCTTTTGGTGATTTGATTAGATTAAGGTGTGCGAATAGTATTGATTTGTGTTCAAATGAAGATAATTTGTCGGTAAACTTAAATTGAAAAGGCTAATTTAATTTGAAAATTTATATTTATTTATTGGTGGATGTTTCACAAATGTCATCCAACTTATTAAGTCGTTGTTTGAGCCACATTAAAATTTTCATTCTCATTTTTCTGCCTATTTTCAATCATACAATTTTCAGTAAAATAATATTTTCAATCACATCAATAACTTTTACTTCTTTTTCAATTACACACTTTTCATCAATCTACTATTCCAAAATATATTTTTCCAAAATAATGTGGCTCAAACACACCCTAAAACTGAACACCAATTGAAGTGGTTGCTACTTTATTTTGTGTCCGTGAAGTCACTTTTCTTTCTGATTTGCAGGTCATTTTCTTTTAACGCATTTNACGAATAAAATAATATTTTTATTGAGCGTAAAACCATATGATACATTGTGTTGGATGGAGTAATCCGTCTACTTGCAATTTAGATTTGGACCACTTGATTGACTATATAAAGTCCTTGTTTGAGTCCCATTTTTCGGCAAAAAAAAAAAAGAATTTTATAATAGTGATTTTTTGAAAAATATGTCGCTAAAAAGTAAGAAAAATTTTGAATTTATGTGCAAAATAATTTATTAAAAGAATTTCTGATTGAAAATGAATTTGGAAAAAAACGAATTTTTGAATAGTGGGACTCAAACACGGCAAAGTAAAGTATTAACATTTCAATCTTGTAAATAAATCACCATTAGATATTTTCTTTTTGAGTTCCAAAAAGAAAGTTAGAGGGTGTTTGACGCCTATTTTAGTAGAAAAATGTATTTTTGAATAGTGATTGACGGAAGAATGTGTGGTTAAAAAGTAAGGAAAATTTTTATGTTTATGTGTAATATTATTTTATTAAAAAAGGTTGAACCCCAACCTTGAGGGCCCCCACCGACCCTGCCCTGGGCCATTGTGAAAGAGGTAAATCGCAGGATGTGCCTCCCAGGAGCCAGGGTCCACCCACCCTTTATAAATTTTATAATCTGTCAAACTACGTTTATCCACATATTTATCAAATCAATTAATATNCACCCATTTTAGTAGAAAAATGTGTTTTTGAATAGTGATTGATAGAAGAATGTGTGGTTAAAAAGTAAGGAGAATTTTTAGGTTTATGTGTAATATTATTTTATTGATAGAATGTATGGTTGAAATGAAGAAAGAGAAAAAAAATGAGAATAAGAAAAAAAATGAGTGCCAAACGGAGGCTTAATTTTAAATAAAGATTGTGAATAATAAATAAAAGGCATTTTAAAATTTTTTTTAATCTTTTGTATTCTTGAATTTATCACATGTAAATAAAAGATACGATTTTCTTTTTGTCTTACGTTTCATCGAAATTTCTTTATATATTTCGAATGGCATTTTATTTTATTTTATTTCAGAAAATAAAAATAAAATCGAAGCGTGCCTATTTGACCAATTGTGTGTTTAATCTCCTCCCATTTGTATGGTCCATTCTTTTTGTCTGAAAAAAATTCATGCTAATAAATCAATCTTTTGGCGATTTGATTAGATTAAGGTGTGCGAATAGTATTGATTTGTATTCAAATGAAGATAATTTGTCGGTAAACTTAAATTGAAAAGGCTAATTTAATTTGAA